AACCTGAGCATATTCACACTCTGCTTCCTTCCTCACATTTCTAGGCTCCACTTCATCATACAGGTTTCCCATCTCCAGTGCATTGCTCATAGAATCTCTGCCAACGTCCTCCCCCATCCACTTCTCCTCCTCCAGATAGGAACCACCACATGGATTCATGTTAGCAGAGTCTTCTATCTTCTTACTCTTGCTCTTCTAAGACACACTAGAGTAAATTCCGTCACTCTCTTTTGCATTGTTTGGCCCAGAGCTTGGCACCGCGGTGCCAGTCAGCTTAGACATAGTTGGAGGGTCGGCAGCATCTGGTGGTCTCAGCCCTTTGGTGTTGACATACATGTCCTCTCCTGTTGTGTTTGGAAGCTACAATTAAAGAGAAAACATCAGTGGAACAAATAATACAGGTTAAGGAATTAATCCCTGTCTAATATAAGTCAAAGTACCTCATCTGCCTCTTTGAATAGAATTTGGCTCGAAGCAACTCGACTCATTTCACATGTGAGGTGACTGTTGGGGTTATGGCGATTCTTCAGAGCCCTGAAAAACACAGTAGAACATGCAGCATAAATGGGTTTATTTGATTTACGTTTGTTTTTCTCACTGTCCATTTGTTTGTCCACTGGATGAGTAACTGAGATAACTGAGTTAAAAGTAGAATAAGTAGTCCTGCCAGGTGTTAGTGGGCTTCTATTCTCTCTTCTGAATTACGTCATCATACTATAAAGTGAGTGTACGTCTCACTTCCTGTTAGCTGGCGTCTGCAATTGTGGCGGCTGCTCTGCTTACAACATATTTGTTTATAATGTTTGCACAGATAAGGATCAGCCTTTGGTTTTAGTTTTGACTATTTTAACTGTGTGTAGAGCAGGATTCATCTGTTGTGCCTTCGTTGATGAATCAGGCGACTGATCATGCCAAATGAAGTTCATTTTATTTACATTTCTTAATTGGCTATTAAAGACATGACATGATTTGTTTCTTGTATTAAATATGAAGTTGTTTCAGATTGTGATTTTCTTTGTGAGATTAGTTTATTTGTTTGAGCTGCAGCTACACCACTGCTTACTCTGCTTGTAGACAGTTGACTGACTATCAGATATAGTTGATAAGTTTTTTTGTATTAACATCAGTTGGTAGAAATCTGTTTCCACTTTCACATTAAAAAGTCTTTTTGTACGTTCTCGTCAAAGAAGTCAAATTATATTGACTTTTATTAAATATGGAAAAGTAATTAAAGGGGTTAAACATCCAAGGGGAGGTGAATACTTTTCATAAATACAGTATTTATGGTGCTGATGCAAAGTTCTGACTGATATGAAACCTAGAGTTACCCACTAGTGTTGCCAATAATGAATTAAGAGTCCGTTTGTTTTTAATAGTCTTTGCGTTGTTGTGTCTGTCCACAAAATGACCTGTGTTCATGAATGTTGACTTCACAGCAGCACTTTCACACAATTAACTTGTTGCCTTTCGCCAGAACCTTCTCCATGTACTGTAGTCTTTATCTTAGTGTCTCAAAAGCTGTTAACTTACCTGATAACACACAGCAGAGCACACACTAGTATGATCAAAATGGCAATCACGGTGCTGCACATGAGGAGCAGCGCTTGATCTGGAACATAAAATTGAAGATGAAGATATAATTCAGACATACAGTTCTGATAAAAGTGTGGATAGCCTGCATGAACCAGCTTTAACATACTGTGACTTCTTGTCTTGTTTTTGTCACTACCTACGTATGATTTTTCTTTTATCAAGACAGGTATATGTGAGTGAGTGAGTGGCATTGTTGTTTTTTATTTCTTTGCTTTTCTTGGGTCAGAAAGGTCTCCAGTGTACTGTTTTATACAACAATATTTACTTACACTGGCCTGCATATAAGATGGTATATTAGCAATGACACATGAGACCACTGCTGGTTCAACCTTCTAAAACAACCAACAAGCAGTAAAGGCATCATGTAAGGTCTCACTGCACCTCTACTTTCTGTAAGGAGCTACAGAGCTGTTTGCTTCACTGGAAGTGTATTACAACTGGCCTGAACCAACACACCAACTGTTCACATTAGTCAGAGAGGACGTTAAATCTATTGCTAGGAAACACAAAAATGATGGTGAGGTAACTGACAGCTTCCAGCTAACTATTACAAGAAGTACATATAGAACAGACCGTGACTTTCAGCACATGCTTGATGCTCAAGGCTGAAATGTTGACTGGCAGATCCAAGAGAGTTGAAGCTGAGACAGGTCAAGGTTGAATGATACATCTCTTGAGGTTGATTCCCAGTGATGATGCTCCTCAGACCTTTGTCATTCTTTAGACGTTCACTGATGATCACAAACTCAGACTGATTGACAGGTAAACCATTCAAATACCAGTGGAAAGCAGGGAAAGGATTTCCCACAGCCTCACAGGAACAGTTGATCCGGCCTGCAGTTTTGGTGCAATCAGATGATGGCAGGATCTGTGGAGGAACTGACATCAAAGTAGACGAAAGAGTCAATGAAAGTCAATCAAATTTGCCAAAATGAAAAAAAAAGACGTACAAAATGGTTGTTTACAAGTTATGAGTAAAAACTAAGTGAAGTGAATCAGAGAAGAGAATCAAGATACAAAATGAAATCCTTTTGAATCATGTGATACAAACAATATGACTGAATACCAGCTGGATGCTCATTTTTAAGTTGACATAAAAAGAACTGTTAATTTTAGAAGTCTAAATGAATAAAGCATCTGTTTTAAAGTCTCCTGACCTTTGGTAGCTCTGCACCAGGTGTAGTTCCTTCCTGCTGTCTTGGCATTGCTACTGCATGTCTGAATAATGTTGTACGTATAAGATGACTGACTTCATCCTATGCAATGTGCTCAAG